ACCAGCCAAGCCTATATCGACGGAGGATTATCTCTCACCCGCGGCAAGAACCAGACTTTATCATGGTCTTTGGAGAGCTACGGCATGCCCCGTTTAGAGTGGCATATTCCCCTCTTACCCCTCTGCTTGGCCATGGATTTTCTTGCCTGCGGCATCTCAGCCGATTGCCAACCGCACGAAAACAAGTCCGCATTGAAGATCCATCCGCAGGCTTAGGTGTACCCCCACCCACCGCGGGACCTTACCGGGTCGCCTGAGAAATACAGAGACAACTCCCGACACGTGGAGGCAGCGTCAAGTACGGGCAGAGCGAAGAAGGTACGTCTGGTGGAGGTATCGCGCGCGCCAGTGGACAGAGTTTGAGCAGTTCTGGAGGGAGTCAACGGGAGGAAAAAGCGGTTCTGGGCCCCAAAGGGCCCCTCGGCGGAGACGCTAGTGTCTCCGGTGCGGAAGCCGCAATTGGCCCCGGTCCAAGAAACTTGGTGATTATGACGTCTAAACCGCATGTATCACGGGCGCCGGCGGAGATGGGTAAGTCACTCCCTTGGCTGGATCGGTACCTGGCGCTGGTCTCTCTCTGGTCGTGGGGCCTGTAAGTCGTCCAAATTCCTCAGCCTCGGCCGCTCGCTTTTCTGGGTACGGTCGACTCGACGCCCTCGACGCTCAATTTTTCACGCCATGGTTGAGTTCCGAGATACCTCCGCCATCGGTACCTCGACGTACTGTACCTACGTTACCCTCGTTGAGTTCTTTCTGCGCCCCCCCCCCGCTCAAGCGTGGGTAGAGGGTGTGGCAGGTGGGTGAGAGCTTGTTGGAAAGAGGGGCAACAGCCCAGTTGCAGAGCTTCTGAGAGCTCGATTGGACGGCGGGAGGCGAGTTTGGATGTCAGACTTGGGGGAGCTTTGCAACCAACGTTGGATGCGCGCCAGAGCTGGCAACCGGATGAAGGCCTTTATATATGGTGTCCTCCCATCTCGTCCTCTCGAGAATGCAGCCGTGTCATCCCCTCATCTCGAGATTCCGCCATCGCTTGCACATCCCATCGAGACATTGCGCCATCGCTCATTGTCCTATCACACAACTGAGCAGCCCCATTGCCCACCACAAGAACCCACGACAACCTCTCGTTTGTCAAGCACGTCATCACAAACGTCGCGACAACTGGAGCAGCCCTCCGTTAGCACGCCCTCCATCCTTGCTATCAGCCAAGATGACTGTCATCTCGACCTCCAAGAAGCCTATCTTCTGCGCGACCCATCCTCGGGCATGCTCAACCGCCTTTGAGAGGGTACGTTTTCTGAAAACCCTGGATCATGTAGCTAGGGGGAGGGGGAGGCGACTGAAGAGATTCTTCCCCAAACTCCAATGACCCAGTTTTATTTCCCTACCATCGTGTCTCTGATGCTGATTGAAATTTCAGGTTTTCATGACCCGCAGGGATGTGCTGAGCTGCGTTCATGAGCCTTTTGGCGATGCGTTCTACTACGGGCCTGAACGCCTCGGTGTCCGTTATGCCGACGACGCTGACGCCAGGGAGTCGTCTGGCTTTGCCAACACAACGTATGCCGATGTCCTACAGACCATTGAGGAGTCTAGCGAGGGTGTAGGTTTTCCCATTTCTTCCAATCGTCTCATGATGGGTATCGGCGGCTTCGTGGTGTGGTGCATGCAACCCCGCGATTTGGTCGCAAAGTCGTGAAAGCTTCAATTGGCTTCATGCATGACGCCCGCAATTGCTGGCGACAACCTTGTGAAGAGCTTCGCGCAACCAAACCTCGGCTTGTCAATTCACATGCGACATGAAGTTGAAGCTGCGAAATGCCAATTCGTTCGTGAGCCTTCTTGCAAAGCTTCTCTGCGGCTTGCGCCCCCGAAGCTCTTGGCCATGCCTGTCACCCACATTTTCATCCCCGGTCGCATTTCTCACGAAAGGCCAATGCAGACTAACAAGATCACAGGGCGCGAAGCGTATCTTCATCAAGGATATCATTCACTACCTCTTCCCCCCCTCTGGCGCCCCCGCTTCCATCGCACCCTCTCTGGGCGGCGAGAAGTCCACAGAGCCTAACAACCCTACCGTCATCCCCGTCGATATCCTCCGCAAGTTCCAATTCACCTTCCTCATCCGTCATCCTCGCCGCTCCATTCCCTCCTACTTCCGCTGTACTGTGCCACCTCTGGACAAGGTGACGGGTTTCTACAACTTCGATCCGGCTGAGGCAGGCTACGACGAGGTGCGCCGCTTCTTCGACTTCCTCTTGAAGGAGGGACTCATCGACCGCTCCAACCTGACCGTTGTCGATGCCGATGACCTCCTCGACGACCCCGAGGGCATCCTGCGCGCGTATTGCAAGCGGGTTGGCCTCGACTTCCACGACGGCATGTTGAACTGGAGCGACGACGACACTGCCTTCGCCCAGGACAAGTTTGCCAAGTGGGTCGGCTTCCACGACGATGCCCTGTCGAGCTGCAACCTGAGGGCTCGCGACCCCAAGCATGTAAGTCCAGACCTTCCCTGAGGCATGACAAAGTGGACGCATCAAACTGACTCCCACAGAAGAAGGTTTTTACTCGTGAGTCTGAGGATCGCGAGTGGAACGAGAAGTACGGCGAGAAGGGGGCCAAGTTGATTCGCCAGACGGTGGAGGATAATTTGGCTGATTACGAGTACCTGAAGAAGTTTGCCTTGTCGGTGTAATGACTTCGAGGGTGTGCAGCGATATCTGGTCTGTTTTTTTTTGTCTTCTCCGCAGGTTATATGTTTATCATTTATCACGGGTTGGTTTTGGGATTTGGCACGACATTTTGATTATGGCGACCGTCAACGACGAGATCTCGCATATACAGATCAACATCCAAAGGCAGTCATGTCAGACTGCCACGCATATATACACAGAGGCAAAGGCCATGAATGAATGAACATGTTCAAATATTTCGTACAATAGTCTACAACAGGCTGGGTGGTGCTGTGGTGAACAACCGCCGTGTGGTAATACAAACCCCCGAAGGACGCTCGCAAGACGCATCGACACATGAGCCGGTCTGCTTGCTATGTGCTCTCATTTGCTCTCATGTGCTCCCATCTGCTCTGCCCCTTCCTTCTCACGCCTCTTTCGCGACAGGCGTCGTCGTGTCGACGACCTGCTCAACCTCAGCCGCCTCGGCGCCCTGTAACGCCTTGGCGTCCTCAAACAGCTCGTGCTTGACGTTGGCGCTCCACGCGCTCGCAAAGTTCTTGTCCTGCTGGTCCCTCCAGAAGACCGTCGCCTCGAGCAGCTGCCTGTCCGCGCTGCTCTCCTTCGGCGCGTCCGTCGACCAGCGCTTGCCCCGGAGTTCGCCGCCGGCCCTCGACGAGCGTCCGCTCGGCGGCGCTCACCCACAGTCTTGCTGCCGCGGCCACCACCCGCGAGCACGGCCGCCATGTCGGCAATGGCGTTCTCGCGCTGCTCGTGAATGGCGAAGCCACGCTCTTTGCGCGTGCGTGTCGACCGCACGAGCCGGCCTGTCGCCGCGTCCTCCTTGGTCCGGTACAGCTTCTCGTCGCCCCACTCGAGCTCGTGGCGCCGCCGGTATTCGCGCAGCTTCTGAAAGGCCGACTGGCCTGCCGTGCCGGCGCCCGCGGGAAACTGGATGAGGGCCATGGGCCGCCAGAGGTCCTTGCGGAGCTTGGCCGGGGTTGACTTTTTCGCGATAAAGGGGAGTTGCTTGAGAGCGTGGTTGGACTGCGTTGTCTGCACGTTAGCATTCCTGGCCCTTTGGGAGTCCTTCTCGCGTTGGGGTAAGTGGAAGACGCACGTCGAGCTGAGGCGTGTGCGAGTAGATGATCTGATGGGAGGTCAGGTGGTGCCAGACCCAGATCTGCTCGCCGTGACCGGGGGCGAAGTTGGAGAGTTCGGGCTTGGCCGTCCTGCGTCGCGACCAGGTGTGGCCGTTTCGTACTGTCGCCCGCGGGATGCCCGCGCTCAGGGAGAGCTGGGCGAAGCGGAAGATTGGCGTCGAATTCATGGTTGCGCGTGTGCGGGATGGGGCCACCGTGGATCGTGAAAGGCAGTCAGTCCCCTGATCTAGCACAATTGGCGTTTGGCTGCGCGAACAGGAAAAATCCCAGAGCTCCAGCGCCGGGGGCGCGTGCATTGAAACTGTGGCTGGAGAGTCATGTGATTTTGTGAACGAGCCACAGGCCTGGCCCCTTCAGCTCTGCGGTGCTCAAGGCTCCGATTAGCTCAGCATGACGATCAGCTTCACCCCGCGGTCCCTGGTTGGCCGAACCACCCAGTAGCTTCGGGCCGCTTCTAGTGACGTCGAGGCCTTTCCAGTGCGCTCCCCCGTCGCTGCCCTACGACAACTGGCAGTTGCTGGAAACATCAGGCTACATCTGGCTTGGCCCACTTCCAACTTGGTCGAGTGGTCCGAATTCCGCCTGACTGCTGCATAAAAGCACTCGACCTCGAGGACTCTCTTACGCTTTCTCCTTCAAGAAACAAAGTAATCCAACTAATGATACCCCTTCTATGAGTAGAAGACTCACCACTACTGAGCTTCGAAGCGACGCACATTCCGCATACTCACGACTACAAACGTACAAACCACACACACACACACCTTCGCTACATACACACATCACATACCCACGACAAGATGAATTCCCGCATGGAGTTCACCGACCGGGCCGAGAAGGCTGTCCAGGATGCCATGGCCCTTGCTGAACAGTATGCCCACTCCCAGCTACTACCAGTTCACCTGGCGGTGTCTCTTCTCGACCCCCCCGCAGACCAGAGCAAAGATCAACAGAATGGACCTGCGCCTTCGGCGTCCATGTTCAGGCAGGTCGTCGAGAGGGCACACGGCGACCCTCAACTCTTTGACCGCGCGTTGAAGAAGTCACTCGTCCGATTGCCCAGCCAGGACCCCCCTCCCGACCAGGTCTCCGTGGCTCCCGGTTTCCACGCCGTCCTTCGCAAGGCCCAGGAGCTGCAGAAGGTACAGAGAGACAGCTTCATCGCCATCGACCACCTCATCACCGCACTCGCCGAGGACCACAACATCCAGACCGCCCTCCGCGAGGCAAACATCCCCAAGCCGAAACTGGTGCAGGACGCCGTTCAACAGATTCGAGGCACCAAGAGGGTGGACAACAAGAACGCAGACACGGAGGAAGAACACGAGAACCTCGCCAAGTTCACCATCGACATGACGGCCATGGCCCGCGACAGCAACATGGACCCCGTCATTGGTCGAGAGGAGGAGATCCGCCGTGTCGTCCGCATCTTGTCCCGGAGAACCAAGAACAACCCCGTGCTCATCGGCGAACCCGGTGTCGGCAAGACGACCGTCATTGAAGGCCTCGCCCAGCGCATTGTCAACCGCGACGTTCCTGACAACCTGAAGCACTGCAAGCTGCTGTCGCTCGACGTGGGTGCCCTGGTGGCCGGCAGCAAATACCGCGGAGAGTTCGAGGAGAGGATGAAGGGCGTCTTGAAGGAGATTGAGGACTCCAAGGAGATGATCGTCCTCTTCGTTGACGAAATTCACTTGCTCATGGGCGCAGGATCGTCCGGCGAGGGTGGCATGGATGCCGCCAACCTTCTGAAGCCCATGCTGGCCCGTGGCCAGCTGCACTGCATTGGTGCTACCACACTCGCCGAATATAGGAAATATGTCGAGAAGGACGCTGCCTTTGAGCGACGTTTCCAGCAGGTCCTCGTCAAGGAACCCACCATTGCCGAGACCATCTCCATCCTTCGAGGTCTCAAGGAGCGGTACGACCGCCATCACCGCGTCACCATTCTCGACAGCGCTCTTGTAGCCGCCGCCAACCTCGCTGGCCGCTATCTCACATCTCGACGGCTGCCTGATTCGGCCATCGATTTGGTTGATGAGGCGTCCGCCGCCGTTCGTGTGGCGCGTGAGTCGCAGCCCGAGATTATCGATTCGCTGGAGCGCAAGCTTCGCCAGATCATGATTGAGATCGCGGCCCTCGAGAAGGAAAAGGACGAGGCATCCCAGACTCGCCTGGCTCAGGCGAAGAAGGATGCCAGAAACGTCGAGGAGGAGCTGGAGCCTCTCCGGCAAAAGTACCTCAGCGAGATCAAGCGCGGCGAGGAAATCCACATGGCCAAGTCCAAGCTCGACGAGCTCCAGAAGCGTCTGGAGAACGCGGCCAACGACGGCGACCACGCCAAGGCCGCCGACATCAAGTACGGCGCCATCCCCGAACAGCTCGCTGTGATCAAGGAGCTCGAGGCGAAGAAGGCCGCAGCCGACGCCGCCTTGAGCGCCACTGGCCAAGACACTGGCTCGATGGTTACGGACATCGTGTCTGTCGACCACATCAACGAAATCGTCGCGCGATGGACGGGCATTCCCGTCACGCGCCTCAAGACTACAGAAAAGGACAAGCTGCTCCACATGGAGAAGGTCCTCGGCAAGATCGTTGTTGGCCAGAAGGAGGCCGTCAAGTCCGTCTCCAACGCCATCCGACTCCAGCGGTCTGGTCTCGCCAACCCCAACCAGCCGCCAAGCTTCCTGTTCTGCGGTCCTTCGGGCACTGGTAAGACGCTGCTCACCAAGGCGCTTGCCGAGTTCCTGTTCGACGACCCCAAGTCTATGATCCGGTTCGACATGTCTGAATACCAAGAGCGACACGCCCTGAGCCGAATGATTGGCGCGCCACCAGGATACGTTGGTCACGATGCCGGAGGACAGCTGACAGAAGCTCTCCGCCGCAAGCCCTTCTCGATTCTGCTGTTCGACGAGGTCGAGAAGGCCGCCAAGGAGGTCCTGACGGTCCTGCTCCAGCTTATGGACGACGGCCGCATCACCGACGGACAAGGCCGTGTTGTCGACGCCAAGAACTGCATTGTCGTCATGACCTCCAACTTGGGTGCCGAGTACCTCACACAATCCACGTCCCCCGACGGCCGGGTCGACGCGGTGACGCGCGAGAAGGTCATGAACGCGCTTCGCGGCTGGTTCCTCCCCGAGTTCCTCAACCGCATCAACTCGACCGTCATCTTCAACCGTCTCACGCGCCGCGAGATCCGCAACATTGTCGACATTCGCATCGGCGAGATCCAGAAGCGTCTGGCCGACAACGACCGCAAGGTCTTCATCGACGTGTCGGAGGAGGCCAAGGACTACCTCGGCGCCGCGGGCTACTCGCCCGCGTACGGCGCGCGACCACTATCGCGCCTCATCGAGAAGGAGGTGCTCAACCGCCTCGCGATCCTCATCCTGCGGGGCCAGATCCGCGACGGCGAGAACGCGAGGGTCGAGCTGATCAACGACAAGATTGTCGTGCTGCCGAACCACCAGGACAGCGAGCTTCCATCGGAGGAGGATGACGAAGACATGGAGGATGCCATCGAGGAGGTCGTCAGGGACGACGAGGACCTTTACAACTAAGCGACTCGAGACGTGCGCGAGGAGAGAAACGTGGCCTCCGCTTTCTTTTCTTCTGATGAGTTATGAGGCGTTTGGAATTTCAAAAAGGCGTTGGGAACAGCATTCATGTAGATATATATGATGAAACGTCAGTACAGACAGACAAGGGCATAGAACTAGTTCAACCCGCTCCCTGAAACAGTGAACCATTCTCGCTTTCCAACAGTGTACACGCCAACACGCCAACGTAGCTAGGTAGTCAGAAGGGTCTAGACTACCATGCGCTGTCTCCCCGAGACAGAGTCTGGACCAGCGCCGACGCTCGACGACAATGCAGAGAGACCGGCACCGAGAAGGGGGTCTGCTAGTGGACAATACATGCAATGGAAGTGTTTATTTCTGCGCCTGGAGACCAAGAAACTTCCCCCTACCAAACTCTACAGTCGCATCGGCTCGTCTCGTCTGCCGCATTGCTGAGGTATCTTTGTCGACACACACAACGCATCATGGATGCGGTGAGTGCCATGATGGCGAGATGGGACCAAGAGGTTACCTACCCAATCCTCGGACATGGGCATTTTTTTTTTGGCTTTAGGGAACAGACATGAAAGTTCAAGGTGCGGTCGTGTTACATGTACAGTACAGACAAATAAAGCATTGACCCCCTCCCGCCCCCTTGAATATCGACGTGGATGTTGCTGATAAGACCAAAGTCGGAACACGGGCACCCCGAAAGAGAAAGATCCGAGGGCCAAAAACAGCATCGCCAGGGAGGCTGCGCCTCAGCATATCATCTGCCATGACCTCGCGATACCAGGGCCCTCCCCCAGCGTCAGTGCCATATGGATCGGATGTGCAGTGAACTGAGCGTGGGGAGGGGGGTTCAGGGCCAGAAGTGGGGATAGATGGGTGGGTGGCAGGGTGGAGCGCCAGAGGGGGTCGCCACGCAAAAACACGCCTATGTACAGCGATGTTTCAGGTTTTTTTTGGGGGGGGGGGGGGGGACAAAAGTCTTGTCTAAGGCCGTGGGGGGGAAAGGAGGGGAGACGGGCTGCTGTGCGATGCGGGGCGCTCGGTTCTCGGCTCCTGCCTCCGTTCAACCTCAGCCACAGCTCCGTCCAAGTCGCTGGCCAAAGGGTTTTGTGCACGTCACGTATGCCCGTCTATGCAAACGGTTTTGGAGACGGCATAGACTCACCACTTCGGTTAATTGCGTAAATACGGTGGCTGCCTACGTCGACAGTGAGCCTCACAGTGGTCCTCACAGGCCAAGTCACATCGCAGCACCCGCCGCTCCAATGCTGTCCCCGAACCGTGGATCTGAAATGATCTCCTACGAAATCACGAGAGCCGGGATCCTTGCCATGCTGCTCTCTCTCTCTCTTCCCTTCCCTTCTCTTGCGACCCCCCACTGACCGGTGTTGCCGCGTCGCGTTCACGGGG